GGGGGCGGGGGGAGCAGAAGCAGAGATGCTTGGAGAAACGGCAAGTAGATCCAGCGGGTGGGGCCACGAAACCTGCAGGGGGACAGCCAAAAAAGGGCGGGTCACCACGTGTACCCAGCCACTGCCGCCTTCGGTGGAGCTCCCTGTGGGGCCAGGAAAAGTGTGAGGTGTCTGCCAGAATGGACGTGCCACCACGTGAACCAATCCACGGGGGCCTTGTGTAGAGCTCCGTATCCTATGGGGCCGCGAAGCGTGTGAGGGGTGTGCCGCAATTAGGCGGAACACCATGAACCGGCCCAATTGGGCCTTCTGTGGGGGGCGGGTCGCCATATGAACCCAGCCACTGGCGCCTTCGGTGGAGCTCCCTGTGGGCCACAAAACGTCTGAGGGGATGTGAACCCAGCCACTGGAGCCTTTGGTGGAGTTCCCCATGGGGCCACGAATCGCGCGAGGCGTGTAACGAATTGGGGCGGGGCACCATATGAATCGAGCCATTGGGGCCTCTGGTGGAGCTCCTGGTGGGGCCACGAAACTTGTGAGGGGCGGGCCGAAATGGGACGGATCACCTGTGAACCCAGCCACTGGGGCCTTAGATGGAGCTCCCCATGGGGCACAAATGGTGCGAGGGGTGTGACGGAATGGGGAGGGGCAGGATGTGAACTCAGCCACTGTGGCCTTCGGTGGAGCTCCCAATAGGGCCACGAAACATGTGAGGGGAGAGCCAAAATGAGCGGGGTGGCGCCATACGGACGCAGTCACTGACGCCTTCGGTGGAGCTCCCTATGGACCACGAAACGCGTGAAGGGAGTGCCGAAGTGGGGCAGGGCACCATGTGTACCCAGCCACTGACGCCTTCGGTGGAGCTCCCTGTGGGGCCACGAAACGTGTGAGGGGTCTGCCAGAATGGACGGGTCACCATGTGTACCAATTCACGGAGGCCTTGTGTGGAGCTCCCTGTGGGGCCGCGAAACGTGTGAGAGGTGTGCCGAAATGGGGCAGAGCAACCCGTGACCCGAGCCACTCGGGCCGTCGGTGGGGAGCGGGTCACCATATGAACCCAGCCGGCCCAGCCGCACGGACCTTCGGCGGAGCTCCCTATGGGGCCACGAAGCGCGTGAGGAGTTTTCCGAAGTGGGGCGGGGCACCATGTGAACCCAACCACTGGCGCCCAGCCACTGGCGCCTTCGGTGGCTTTCTCTGTAGGACCACGAAACGTGAGGGGTGTGCCGAAGTGGGGCGGGTCACCACATGAACCCAGCCACTGGCGCCTTCGGTGGAGCTCCAGATGGGCCCACGAAACGAGTGAGGGGAGTACCAAAATGGACGGGGATGCAGCTACTGGGGCATTTGGTGGAGCTTCCAATGGGGCCACGGAACGTGTGAGGGGTGAGGCGAAATGGTGATGAGGATGCTGGTGATCGTAACGAGTATGAAGATGGTGCTGCTGACGACGAGAAGGATGGTGATGACGGGGATGAGGATGATGCTGACGACAAGGATGAGCAGAGGGGGAGGTGCGAAGGAGCAGGTGGGGCGTGGCGCTGCGAATTCAAAACTAGGACCCAACACGCAGGAGGGTTGGGAAAGTGATGGGAAGGGGGAAGAGGACGATGAGGAAGTGGAGGGAGGAGCGAAGAGTAAGAGGAGAGGGGGAGGAGAGGAGAGGAGAGGAGACGCGCGGCGCTGCGGATTCAAAGCCAGGACCCAGCACACAGGATGGTTGGGAAAACGCTCAACACCAACACATTGGTGCTCCTCCTACTCCTCCCCACTATTCCTTGTCTCTTCTTTCTCGAGAAGGGAGAGGGACAAAAGGAGAGTAGTAGAGAGAGAGAGAGAGAGAAATAACAAAACAACATGCATATATATATATATATAGACATAGAGAGAGAGGGAGAGGGAGAGCGAGAGAGAGAGAGAGAGCGAGAGGAGAAAGAAGAAGAGATCGCCCAAAGAAACGCTCCGCAAACGATGGTGAATCCGCAGGCCGCCGGCCCTCCCTGCCCACTCGCGCGCGCTGGGGTGTCAGGAGACCCCCTCTCCACCGCGGGACGAACTACGACCCCCCTTCTCCACCTTCCTGGTCGCTGCCTCCCTCGTCCCCCTCCGCCCTCGTTCCTCGTTTCTCCTCCATCCCCTCCCGTCGCACCACCGAACGTGTCAGTCGGGCGGGCCGCGCGGTTCGCCCGATGAGTCCTCACCACACACGGTGCTGCGGCCCGAAACCTCAAACATCTTCACGGATGGAGGGCGGATCGTTTTCAATATGTGGTTCACATTCGTCGTAACAGCTTGCAGACGTTGTGCGGGTGTAGGGCGAATCGTTGTCATCATGTGGCTCTCGCCGGATCGCCGCGCTAATTAGTGAGCTTGTGAAGAGGGGAGTTGTGAGCTCGTGAGGAGGGGAGTTTGGATGGAAAGGTGTGTTGCAGCATCGTTGATGCAACGTGGGTGCAACGTGGGAGCACTCTGGTCCTCCTCCTCTTCCTGCTTCCTCCTCTCCCTCCTCAATATCACTACTTATTGTTACTCCTCCTCGTCGTCTGTTCCGCGCCCCTCTACTGCCTGCAGTCCTTCTCCTTCGGCTATTGCTGCTCTTCCGCCTCCTCTAGAGAGCCCACAAGAAAAATACGCACCCAGCCACGTACTTGAATGCGGCCCCCCAATCCGCGAGGCTAGCCTCGTGTTACGAACGTTCGCAAAACGCATATTGCTGGAGCCCACGAAACATCATGCACACGAGCGTCTTGTTCTCGCTCATGATCCTCCGCCTCCTCCTCCTTCTCCTCGCCCTCCTCCCCAATGGAGGGCGCAGTTGCAAGTGGGCTGTCAATGAGTGGGCCCGCAAGGCGTGCAAAGTTCAATGTGGCCCGCTCGCTCTTTTTCCCGAACGCATACATGCCAACACACCATGCCGAGGATGGAGCCGACGCGCGGGGACAGGCTGGCTGGTCCTGGTCCATTGTTTGAATCCTTTTGGGGATCAGGGGCGGGACATTTGGGCTTGAGAGGGGTGTCGGGAGCGTCGGGTCGGGCTTCGTCGGATCAGAGACGGGGTGGATATGAGAAAGGAAAGTCGGTTTAGGAACGCCGTCCTGGTCGTGATTGGAGTAGGAGGTCGGAGATGAAACCGCGTTTTCCTGTGCGTGTCGCCGTAGATGTTGCGATTCACACGGCGTCAAGAACCTCTGAATGGATACCAGCAGCCCCTTTGGACTCCTTCCTGGCCAACAGCAAAACTGGTCATCTGGTGAAACGGTTGGGAAGCGCTGTCACTGCAGATCTCTCGCCCTTCTCCGCTTCGCCATGAATGTTTCGTCACCCTCTTTGACGTTGTCCCCCCTCCTCCGTGCACGGAGCGGTTTTCGATTGGGCCACTGTTGTTGCACCACAACTTGTCTCCATGATTGCATTATGCATCGTTGCTGCGCCACGTTTTCAAAAAGCCTACCTTCCCGGCATGCGTATTGAACTGTGTTGTGCCCATGTTGCCTGGGTCGCTGTAGGTGAATGTGTAGTCGATACTGTCTACGAGTCGGACTTCGTTGATAATGTCGGTCATCTGCTCGATCACGTCTCTCTCGCAATCTCCAGCCCAACAAAGATTACTTGTAAGTCCCTGCCGTTATCCTTGTTGATCATGGTGGGAACTTTGTTTGTGATGGTGTCTCGTAGCTCGTTCGTCTCCTCGCTGTTATTTGCGATCGTTTTGTTGATGTCGTCAATTTGCTCCTGCAACTTCGTTACTGCTTCTATTGCATTGGCCGCCGTGTTGGATGCTTGATTTGCGGTGTCACGGACATCGCTGATGTCGGCCAAGCGAGTGTTGATGAATCAATTTGTAGAGATCGACGAGGATCTCCCCGTCCGACATCTTTGAGAAGTCGGGGTCGCTTCCCTTCTTGTGCTTGCCCTCCGGCGATTAGCCCGCTGAAGGTGCCTCCTCGCGGATCACTTCTCCACAATCGAGCTCACAAGAGAAAGAAGTCAGCAATCGGGTTGACACGTTGCCTTGACCCATCAAACTGGAACCCCGTGACCGTTCAATGCTGAACGATCACGGCTTTCCGAGAGGGCAGATCGCTCGCTAGCGGCCCTCTCTGGGTCACTGGCGGCGTTCCACCCTGAACGCCCGCATTGGAACCCCAGCTGCGGAGACGCGGCGCGAACCTACCGCAACCCCTGCCATCGCTCTGACGTCCAGTCCCGGTGCGTTCTGCGGGTGTGGTCCAGGAGGCTCCTTGATGGCCCGCGCAAATAGGAAATGCGCACGTCAGAACGATCCCAAGCTAATCTTCATCAACCTCTGAAGGGGCTCCAGCCCGCTCGCGCCAGCCCTGTGTGCTCAGCCCGTCGCCGAGCAAAAGGCGGACTCGGGTGTCCCTGTCCCTCTCTCTCCTCCCCCCCCCCCCACCCCCTCCCCGTCCAGCATCCTCCGTCATTCCTCCGCCCCTGCCGATCCTGTCCACTCCCCTCCCCCCCAGGTCCTCCCCGCTCCCCACCGCTGATGAGAAGGAAGGCCTGATTCGGAACCACCCCTGTTCCCCACATCAGATCGCCCCCAAGAAAGCATCAATAGATAGATCAACCCTCTGAGCAGTCCAATAAGACCCTTCCCTAGGGCATCGGTCAGCAAGGTCATTTTTTAAGTACCCAAATCGACCTTTCACGCTGGCCCTCTGGCCTGGGGTGGGTCCAATCTGGCTCCTCCCCGGTCCTCTCCGCCAATGACTCCCTGGCTTCTGGTGCGGATTGCCGCGGGAGGCTGCGGAGCTAGACGCAGGCGGGCCATCCCAGCCGAGCAGCGGCAGCGATCCTGAACTCCTGTATGGCATCGCGTAAAACGGTGGCAAGAGAAAGCCAAAACAACGCGTCCATCGGACAGGCGTCTGGTTCCAGGGCACCCTGCCTCCACCGAGGGGGCCATCAAGGCAACGCGACGTGCCCTATGCATCTGCTCAACGGCGAGGCCCGAAAAAGAATGCGCGCCAAGGCCCGAATCACGTTCTGTAGGTCCCCCACGACGACTCAATCTGCCTGCGCGGGCAACCACCAATTCAGAGACGGGGCGGACAACGGAGGAGGATGGATTACAGTCGAGCTCGATCGGAGAGGACACGCGGAAGGACACGAGGCCCTTCCGAGGGCAACATTGCCTTAGAAGTGCAGAGTACATGGGAAGCGAAACGCAGCACGAAGGGGGCCCTTGATCTAGAGAGGTCGACCTTGGCATGGGCGCTCGGCCGCAACCCTTTACATATAAAAACAGCCCAATCCAGTGAAAATGAACAACGCACCCAAATTCAAAGGCACGGTTTCCTAATCCACATACATACATATACATATATATATATATAGTTATATGTATATATATATATATGTATGTTCGCCCCCCCCCTATGATCATACATGTGGCCTTCTTTCTCCTCATCCTAAGCATCCTTCCCCCCATCCTCGTCCTCCTCCTCCTCCTCCTCCTCTCCCTCTCCATCCTCTCCCCTCATCATTCCTCCTCCTTTTCCCCTATTCATCTCCCTCTGGTCTTCCTCCTCCTCCTCCTCCTCGTTCTCATCCCTGTCCTCCTCCTCCTGTCATACACATGCTCCCTTGATCCCTCCAGTCATTCCCCCCCCTTCCTCCTCCTGCTCTTCTTGATTATGGGTTGCTACGTTGTCAGACGTAACCTAGTCGATAGCATTCCAAGCACTTCAACGCGAAGCGGCTTCAATCGATGGCAACGCATTACAATCCAATCGATTGCGTTGCAACCGATCACTGGGAATCGTTTTGTGGAGGTTATTATCCCTCCTCCTCCTCCTCCTCCTCTTCCTCCTCATCCGCCTCATACTCCTCCTTATCTTCCTTCCCACCCGTCTAAGTCTCCTTGTTGTGAAGGGTTTCAACGCGAATCCTTATGTTGATGATTCCAATAGGAAGCCTTATGTGGAGGATAGGAATCTTTCTGTGGAGGATTTCCTCCTTCCTCCTCCCCATCGGCCTCATGTTTCCTTACCCTCCTCCTTATCCGCCTAGTTCTCCTTCCTGTGAAGGGTTTCACTCGGAATCCTGCTGCGGAGGGTTTCACCAAGAATCCTTATGTGGCGGTTTTCAATAAGAACCTTCTCCTCGTTCGCTTCATCTTCCACCTCCGTCTCAGCCGCCTCATTATGCTGTTTGTTAAGGGTTCCATTAGAACTCTTTTGAGAAGGGCGCAGGATGAATGGCGAGGAGAAGGAATTTCAGGGGGGAATGGAGGAGGAAGAGGAGGACCAGGAGGAGGAATACGAGGAGGATGAGGAGCATCACGAAGGCAATGGCCAACGAATGACTCACAAAACCACTTGCGGAGCTGCGTTCGCAACCACATGCGTGAGTAACGCCTGGAGGCGGAGAGGAGCGGACAGGTTGAACTGGAGGAAGAGACGATGGAGGAGGAGGTGGGTGAGGAGAACGATGAGGTAAAGGAGGAAAACAGGAAGGTGAGGAGAATGACAATTGTGAGGCGGAACGCGTTTCGCACAAAACTAGTTGTGGAGCGGCGTTCACACATAGTTTTGCGAGTAGTGTCTCGTAGCGGGAGGTTGCCCGCAAAACTAATTGCGCAGCTGAGTTCACAACTAGATTTGTGAGTAACGCCTCGAAGCGGAGAGTAGGGGCCAGAATGAAGAGGAGCAGGAGGCGCAGGAGGAGCAGGAAGAAAAGGAAGATGAGGAGGGTGAGGAGCATGACGAAGGCGGGGAGGGAAACCATTACTCACAGATCTAGTTGTGGCGCGGCGTTCGCAATTAGTTTTGTGGGTAATATCTCGAAGCGGGAGGTTACTCGCAAAACTAGGTGTGGAGTTATTTTCCCAACTATATTTGCGAGTCACGCCTCGAAGCGGAGAGGAGGGGGCATAATGAAAAGGAGCAGGAGGAGCATGAGGAGCAGAAGGAGCAGGAGGAGCAGGACAAATATGACGATTAGGGCAAGGATCACAACGAAGGTGGGGAGAAACTCAGTAATCACAAAACTAGCGGTGCAGCTGCGTTCACAACTAGATTTGTAACGCCTCGAAGCGGAGAGGAAGGGGCAGAATGACGAAGAGCAGGAGGAGCAGGAGAAGCAGAAGGAGGAAGAAGAGGAGGGTGATGAGAATGACGATGACGAGGGGGAACTCCTTACTCACAAAACTAGTTGTGGAGCAGCGTTCACACATAGTTTTGCGAGTAGTGTCTCGTAGCGGGAGGTTGCTCGCAAAACTAGTGTTGTAGCTGAGTTCACAACTAGATTTGTGAGTATCGCCTCGACGCGGAGAGGAGGGGGCAGCATGAAGAAGAGAAGGAGGAGCAGGAGGGGAGAGGAACAGGAGGAGCAAGAGGAGGAGGAAGAGGAGAGTGAGGAGCATGACGAAAGCGTGGAGGAACTCATTACTCACCAAACTATTTGTGGAGCTGCGTTCACACGTAGTTTTGCGAGTAGTGTTTCGTACCTGGAGGTTGCTCGCAAAACTACTTGTGCAGCTGCGTTCACAACTAGATTTGTGAGTATCGCCTCGAATCTGAGAGGAGAGGGCAGAATGAAAAGGAGCAGGAGGAGCAGGAGGGGAGAGGAGCAGGAGGAGCAGGAGGAGGAAGAGAGAGTGAGGAGCATGACGATGACGAGAAGGAGCTCATTATTCACCAAACTAGTTGTGGAGCGGCGTTCACTATTAGTTTTGCGAGTAATGTCTCGTAGCGGGAGGTTGCTCACAAAACTAGTTGTGCAGCTGCGTTCACAACTAGATTTGTGAGTAACGCCTCGAAGCGAGCAGGATGAGGAGGGTGAGGAGGAGCAAAATGAGGAGGGTGAGGAGGAGCAGGAGGGTGAGGAGGTGTAGAAGATCTCAATGGGAATCTTCTGTCGCAGAGGATTTCAACAGGAATCCTTCTGTGGAGGCCGAACGCCAGTGAAAACCCTTCAGAAAACCAACACAAACAAAAAAAACTATGATTTCGGGAGAACCTTGGCCGGCCCCCTCCCCAGAAGTTCTCCCGAAATCATAATTTCGTTTGGGGGGGGTGTGGCAGGTTTTCTTTGGTTTTGGCGATTTCGAAGATTCCGATGAGGAGGAGCAGGAGGAGGAGGAAGAGAAGGAGAGGCAGGGAGGGACAGGAGAAGGAAACGGAGAGCGAAGATATCGATTGGCGGCCGCGCGAGAGACGAATAGGTTAGATCATAGGGGGGGCGACCATGTATATATACACATATATATATACACACACATGTAAACGCTGGTTTGGGGGCGTGATCTGCGGGAATGTTGGTGTTGGCCTTCAATGGGCCACAGAACCTGACAAAAACGCGTCCTCAACAAGGGGGTCGGTAGTGGACGCGTGCCTATCCCAAGGTCGACACACCAACCAAACTCCACTGTGGAGATCTCGCGAGCTGACAAGGCGACGTCTTTCCCGCGCTGGCGGAGGAGGAAAGGGACGAGGAGGGCTCCGGGCACACGCGTGCGCGACCCGCTTGGCCTCTGCCAAAGGCAAAAGGTATCAACGGACGCTGCCGACTTATGCGCCCCAGACGTTTGCAGTGCATCTTTTGCGTGCGTCGTCGAAGCAAGACATCGTTTTGATGATGCACGTCCTGACACGCTGGTGTGGCAGAGCGATAATACACATGGAACGATGGCCCTCCGCACGTGAATCTAGTTATTTTTCGTCGCAAGACCATCACCATCAACCCCGTCATCATAATGATCAGTGTCATGACACTGGTGTGGCAAGCTGGTGTCTTGGCAGGCTGGCCTTCCGCATGTGTATCCACTCGTATAGAATGGCAGGTCCATCGTCATGATGATGGGTACCATGATGCGCTGGTGTGGCACGGCTGCCTAAAGTACACACCATGGGGTCTTCATGCAGTACCGACCCCAAATATTGTGTAAGACCGTTCGCCTTCATTAAGAGCCCCTTGACGGGAAGCCATTATGAGGGCGATTTTGTGGACATCTCCTTTTCGGTGCCGCAACGAGAAAACATTGCGTTCTGTGGTTCGCGCAACACTCCGCCTGAACTACAAGCGCCGTCTTCCCCCACCAAGCGCGCGACCCCTCTGGCCTCTGCCCAAAGCAAGGAGGTATCAACGCACGCTGGCGCCTTGTCAGCCCCAGACCCAACGATTGCACGTTATGCGTGTCGTTGTGGCAGGGGCATCATCAGGATTATGAATGCAATGACGCCCTGGTGTTGCAGAGCGATGGGTACACATGGGACACTGGCCGTCCGGATGTGCATCCACGAATGCGTTGTCGCAGGAACATCCTCATGATGATGGTTGTCCTGACGCGCTGGTGTGGCCCACCGATGTCATGACACGATGGTGCGCCTGGCGCGCCAAGGATGTGCGCCAGGGTGTCCTAATCCAGCACTGGTCCATGGAAGGTTGGCCCTCCGCACGTGCATTGGGTCGCGTATCATCCCAGGACTTTCGTCTTGATGACGGATGTCATGACGCGCTGGTGTGGCACCGTTCGGCCCCCTCGGAAAGGAAAGCCGTTCCAGGTGACATTTTGTGGTCAGCCCGCCTTCGTTGCCAACGCTAGAAAGCATTGCGTTTCGTGGGTCGAACGCTACTTCGACACAACTCCGCGCCCCGATTTGCCCCACCAGACTTTTGAACACATCAGGCTTTCTGAAAACCAACATAAACAGTGATCGCGGTGATGCTCCGCAGAGGGAGTCGCATATCTGGCTGCGTGGACCATGGATTCCAATGCTCTGCTCCAACCAGCGGGCACACATTCCTGTCCATGCCACGAAACATAATTCCCAACCATCCTGTGGTGTTGGGTCCTCGTTTTGAAGAGACGGTCCCCGCGTTCCTCCTCTTCTCCTCCTCTTCCCCCTCCTCCCTCCTCCCATCAGCATCATCATCATCATCACCGTCAGCATCATCATCGTCATCATCATCATCATCATCATCATCATCATCATCATCATCATCATCATCATCATCATCATCATCATCGTCATCACCCACCATCATCGTCATCACCACCATCATCGTCACAC